TGTCAGTCCCGGTGAAGAGGAAACGAGAGGAAACTGGGCCAGACTCAGTCAATCAAACGGAGACAAGCGGCCAGTGGGGCCGTTGGCAGGCTGCAGGCTGATTCCGAGCGTCGCTTTCGTCGCTCTGTCTCTCTCGCACTCATGTGGCGTCCCGTATATGTGCGAGAGAGACAGAGCGACGAAAACGACTCTCGGATTCAGTCTGCTGGGGTCTCAGCCTCGGTGCGGGGCAGCGGGGCACGCCTTGCAAGGACGCGGCCATCGCGCCACTGCGTTTTGCCTGGCTGGCTAGTTGGCCCGAGCTGGCTGGCAGGTTTGGCACAGTGAGGGGAGCGGCGGCCCGAGGCGGGCGTCCTTCTGGAACACGCCCTGCCCCAGCTGCAGCTCCGCGACGCGTCCTCGCCGTCCTCGCCGTCCCCACCGTCCTCGCCGTCCCCGCCATGGCGAACGGCGCCAAACGCCGGAAGAGGAAACGGCGGCCGGCGAGTGCGCGGCTTGCGCGGCGAGTCCGTACACGAACACGGCCACACCGAGCAGCAGACTGATTCCGAGAGTGGTTTACGTCGCTCTGGCTCTCCGGCACCTGTACGGGACGCCCCACGAGTGCGAGAGAGACAGAGCGACGAAAACGACCCTCGGAATCAGTCTGCAGCGCAGCGCGTAGCGGCGCGAGGTTCATCCCTCGTTTTGCCTCCGCTCCGCAGACCCTGGGCCGCGCCTCCTCCGAGGTGGTCACCATGGTGTCCTTGCTGAGCGCGTCCGACACCCCGGCCGACTCGGACGCGGAGGACGCCGCGACCCCCAGCGCGGACTACGCGGCGGGGCTGCGGGTGGCGCTGGCTCCGGGCACGGCGGCGGCGCAGGCCGTCGTCCACGGCGCGGTCCACAGCGTCACTCTCACCGCGACAGCGCCAGCAGGGCCAGCCCCAGCAGGGGCGGCAGGGGCGGCCGGGGCCTCGCAGGAGAGGAAGGCCCCCAAGAGCGGTGAGTCAGAGGGCCGTGCCCGGCGGTAGAAGTGGCGGGCAACGGTTCGCCAGCAGGTTGATTCCAAAGGGGAGGTCTCGTCGGTCTGTCTCTCACATCTATACGGAAAGCCCCAGAGAGAAACCTCCCGCTCGGAATCAGTCTGCAGGCGTGAAGATGCACGGACGCACCCAAAATCGAAAGGCGCTACACATGGTCTTACGAAGGCGGTATTCGTTTTACCCCCTTCCAAGTGTGGTACAAAAATTACTGCCCATTAGAGGCGGTAAAATTGCCACCTTTCACCGCTGTACCGCCTTAAATTTCCCTCCAAACGGAACATTCAAGGCGATAAAACTGTGGAAGGTGGTAATTTACCGCCTTCAATGGGTGGTAATTTTTGTACCACACTTGGAAAGGCGGTAAAACGAATACTGCCCTCGATTGTGGAAATTTTACCATCTTTGGGTTTTGTGTGCAGATCCAGGGACGGGTTCAGGAGGAGGCGATGACGTTGCCTTCTTACAGGGGCATAGTACGACTTTTTGCCTACATTCCAGGCAGCCTCGTCGTAAACTTGAGGGTTGACTGCCCCGCCGCCACCCCCTGGTTCCGCGCCTGTGAAGATGCTCGTTTGTCCACAGTGTGGTTCCAGCCGAGCGGCATGCCGCTGCGTCGCGTGGGCCCGGAGCTGAGCCAGCCGCCCAGCCTGGGCCTGGGCCTGGGCCTGGGCCACACCGCGCTGGGGCCCATGGTGGGTGGCCTCGGCCCGACCTCCCCGACGACGACCCCCTTCGGCCAGGGCACCGGCCTGCGCGGCCTCGGCCAGGGCGCCGGCCTCGCCAGCGAGAAGAGGGCGCCCTCCGTCGAGGCGCGCACGGCCAAGCGGAGACTCACCCGCACTCTCAGCGAACCCATGGGGTAGGTCTAGTCGGAGTCAATGTCCTCACTTCCAACAACGCGATCTGCCTTGCACTGCCGTTTCTCCCGCTTGCGTCGGTTGGCCCTTCTCCGGGGAAGACTGGCCTGACGAGAGATTAGAGTTGTTTCGTCGCTGCCTCTGCCGCTTTCATGGGGTTCTCCACAAGGGTGCGAGAGAGACAGAGCTCTTCTGAATCATTCGGCTGGACAGAGTGGTGTCGCAGAAGGCTTCCTGACTCGTATCCACCACGGCGCGCCCTTTCACCGGGAGAACACAGGCCCTTCCAGGCGGGCATCCAGTGGGGGAGCAAAAGGACAATTGCCCCCCTCCTCTGCCCCTCCCTCAGGCCGGCTCAGCTGGATCCGCCACTGGACCCTTCCCCTGGCGGGCGGTTTGGCCGGCCACCCCTCAGCCCGCCGACCGTCTTTTTCCGAGTAGTTAATTGCCCAATATCTGAAGACTTCCGTTTTTCCACCCCGCCTTCTTCCAATTTCCCTCGCTCCACCGCTGAAGCCGCTGAACGAGGATCGGCAGACGGGGTGCACGGGGTGCTGGGCGATGGGGCGTGCGGAGCGGCGCCGCAGTCTCCTGGCCGCAGGGCGCCGCGTGGCGCCGCGGGGATGCGCGGTGGTTGCAGGCTGCCTTGTTACGCCCCCGCCCCTGCCGCCCGATTCCGAGAGTCGCTTTCGTCGCTCTGTCTCTCTCGCACTCACGAAGCGTCCCCTATAGGTGTGACAGAGACAGAGCGAATCGGTCTGCTGGTCCCGCCCCTGGCCCGGCCTTGCCGACCAAGCCATTACACCGCGTGCCGTGCCGTGCCTTGCCTCGGCGGAGGCCTCGGCAGCCCCGGAACCGCAGCCGAACCGTCAACGCGCAGAACCGATACCGCCTACCTATAACATGTCTTATCGACAGGCAGGAGCCAGGTCGGCGTGGGAGGGGAATCACTCGATACCATAAACCACGGGCAGCGCATAAGCCCGTATAACCGGTGCTGACCCCGCCCCGCCCCGCCCCGCCCCGCCCCGCCCGGGGAGCGCGTTTTCTTCTCGTGCCGAGCGGCAGTTTGATTGGGGAACCGCGCAGCGAGAATAAAGTTGTTGAGTGTGGTGGCCAGGCTGGGCCGGGCTGGGCTTTGCGCCCGCCATGCCAGGGCGCCACAGCCGCCACCGGCCACTGCAGCGCGTTGCAAGTACTGTATCGACGGGCGGTGCGATGGCGTGCGTGTCACGCGCGTGTCACGCCCCGCGGTGCACCACTGCAGGGCATGCCCTCACGCTGCCGATGCGGTGCTGCCGGGGCTGCCGCACGGTGGGCCAGAAGATCGGTGGAGGCGGTCAAAATCCCGGACGCCTTTTGAACGGGTCTCTGACCGAACGTGAGACCTCTACCTATGGGTCGCTCTCCGAACAAGGAATCCATTGGTGGGGTCACACGCCCGGTTCGAGTCCCGCTTAGAGACTCTAGAGCTCAAAACGCGTCTAGAGTTTTCACCGCGCCTCCGCCGGTCTTCTGGCCCACTGTGTCACTGAGTTGTGCACAATCCGCCACACTCGCGGCAGCGGCACGCACTCACCTCGCTAACATAACAACCCTTGCATGGCCTGACCCCCCTCCCCCCCTTTCAAAATCTCTGCGCACGCCACTGAACCCTTGGCGCTGGCCGACAGTTCGGACGACGCCGCGGCCGGCCCGGACGGCGCCACCCCCACCGGCCTGCACGGCGGCCTGCAGATCCCCCTCAGCCTGCTGCTGCGCGCCACCGAGAACCGCGCCGCGGAGCCCCATGGGGTGCAGCCCCAGCTGGACGCCAAGGCCTCGCCGAACCCCGCCGCCGGCACCGGGCCCCGTGCTGCCCCCGTCTCGCAGGGCGACGACCAGGAGGACTCGGACGCCGCGGACTCGGACGCCGAGCCCTCGTTCAGCACGCCCAAGGAGCGCGAGTGCTGGGAGCTGTTCAAGAAGATGAGCGACAAGGGCATTGCCGTCTCGTACGACACCGTGCTCAGGTGAGGCTCCGGACTGCAGCTGCAGACTGATTCCGAAAGTCGTTTCCGTCGCGCTGTCTCTCTCGCACGATGCCCCCCCCCCCCAATGCGAGGAAGCCACCACCCCCCTAATCCTGTGTACAAATTGGCTGGTAATCTGCGGTAAACCATGCCGTAGTCACGCAATCCTTGACAAAATTCTGTCATTTTTCAACGTGTTTGAACCAATTTTCCAAAATTTCACGCGTAATCCCTAGAAAATTTCCCGTAATCTTGTGTACGCCTGAAATGAGAGTGGTGGCCCCCACACCCCCATAAGTGAGAGAGAGACATGGCGACGAAAAGGCCTCTAGGAATCCGTCTAACCACTGTGGCCGAAACTTGTCCTGTCTTCTATTTAGTACCAAGTTCTTGCTCATTTCCGCTTGTGCTCTTCTTTCACCGACGCCCACTCATTGGCTGGCGGCTCCAAACGGGGCGGAGAATCTGCCAGGCACGCCTCAAACTTTTCAAATTAAGTTGCTCCACTTACGTCTGACGCTATGCCGCCCCCTCCGCCAGCCGCCAAGCCGAAACTAGGCCTCCCCCCTCCCCCACCCCTGGGTCCCACCAATACCTCGTCGAAGGGAATGGAACTGATGGTTTCTAGAGCGCCTCTTGGCAGTTGATGTATCCATCTGAAAGACAACTATTTTACCTTCGGTTTACTGAAGTGAGTGTATGTGTCACGAAATGGCTTTTTTTTCCCACAGGGGAATGCTGACGCCAACGGAGTACCGAATGCGAAGGAATTCCCTACTCTCAAGCTACTAGGCGCGCTTGCAAGCCAAACCAAGTCGTGCGCGGGCGCACAACTGTCATTGTACACTCCCACATACAAATCCTTTCCCTTTGCGTTTAGGAAGACTGAACCCCATCCATCTCGTTTCCATCCTGACACATACGGTTCCATGAAATTTTGTTCGACACCTTTCCGTGTTTTAAAGCCTGGCCTTGAACCTCCCCATAAAAGCAAAGCAAGATTTCACCCAAAAATACTTAAAATTTTGTGGTTTACCAACATATAATTCCTGACATGAACCTTGTTGGATATGATGGTTATGGATGAATAAAGTATACAACCAACATTGATTAAAAGCCTTTTTTTAATTAAACATTAATCCAAATAAGGCACAAGGTTTCATGGCCTTGGTAGAAAATAAGTACTTACAAAAAAAGTAAAGGAAAACGAGATGTCATATTACATTTTTCAGAGATATATACCATGGTTCAAGAAAAACTTGGCAGGACAGTAGCAAACAGCCAATCAGTCAATCATAATTTTTGAATCACTGGAACATGGTTAACAACAACATGCTATCATACCAGTCTATGATATATAGTCTTACAAAGTCAACTCCATATTTAAAAATTCAAAAAATGTGACTCAAAGCACACTGATGTAGATCACAAAAAAACTGTGATAAGTTGATCCATTAATTTTTTAAATGCAAATTGAATATGCAAACAACAAAGACAGACAACAATAATTCAACAAAAGTAGGACGGTTGGTGTAAACAAAAATTTGGCCCAGATACCAGTAATTTTATTGTTGATATTGAGCACTATTTTATGTTCAGATGTACTCTAAGTCAAAAAGGGGACTAGTTACAGAAATATGTACATCAACAATATTTAAACCACAGTCTTGAAAGAGACAGATTTGAAAAAGAAAAAAACAAAGCAACAATCTTAGTATACCTTGGTAACTAAGCCAGCTGCAATAGTGACTCCTCCAACTCTTAACATAACTCGACCTAGTTCCTTGATATCACTGTACAATTCCAAACAAATAGGACGAGATACTTCAAGTTCTACAAGAGCTATAGAGTTTCCAATCAAACAACGAGGCTTTTGTTTAATGATGGCTCCAGTGCTTTTGTGAAGTTGGCCAACAAGCTTACATATGACTGCTTGTTCAACAAGAGACTGGTGATGCAACACAACCTGTGGAAAAATACAAAATAAATTGTTATGACCTGCTAAAAATTGATTTTCTGCTTATTAAAAAGCAACAACAAAAAAACCACACCAACAGCAAATTTTATCATACTTACTGCGTAACCTTTAGTAATTGGGACTCTCAGCTGAAATATAACTATTCGGGCTTGAAATCGTGAAGTGATAGGTATAGGTCTTTGAGGTTCACACAGTATGTTGCCAACTGATATGTTTTGTTGATCCATTCCAGAAATTGTAGCACTCACACAATCTCCAGCAAATGCAGTCTGGATGGGCATATCATCGACCATCAAGACTGAAGGAAACAAATTAAATAAAATCAGTGACAATGTTCAATACACTGCTTTACCCATGATCAGGAAGTTTTTTAAAAAACTATGACAACCTTTAATAAAAGCGGTCTCTCCCAAAGGTGAAACAAGAACTTTATCTCCAGGCTGAACCATACCAGTTTCCACCCTGCCTGATACACAAAATCCAGCTCCCATGCCCTTGAAAATGTCATTAACAGACATTCGGAATGGTTTTGTGATAGGCCTTTCAGGTGTTTTGAAGCCATCTGAGATGTGAAAAAAAAAACTATTAATATACCAATCCAAGACTAGATTCTCTTCCATGAAAAATGTAAATGAGATTTTTCATACCAATAACATCAATGAGGCATGGTCCTGTATACCATGAGGTGAGGTCAGCAGCAGTTGGTTTGACAACCATATTTTCACCCGTGAGTCCACTGCAAGGTACATATGTCACATCAGATTCCTTAAAGCCTGCTTGCCGAAGAAAAGCAGATAGCTTTGAAGTAATTTCTTGAAACCGATCTTGAGACCAGCCCACAGTATCCAATTTATTTACTACTACTCCCAGTTGACTCACACCTATACAAAAAAACAAAACATTCACATTAGACATAAGTTTTGGATCATACTTTAAATACAGTAAAAGAAAAACCAAACCTTACCAAGAGATCGGACAAGTAATGCATGTTCACGAGTTTGTCCACCACTTTCAAATCCTGTCTCAAATTCTCCTCTAGTAGCATCAACAACAAGAAGGGCAACATCAGCTTGAGTTGCTCCTGTGATCATATTGGGTATGAAATCTTTATGGCCAGGAGCATCCAATAATGTTACTTGTTTGGACTTGGTTTCAAACTTTGACTGCCCAACATCCATTGTTATTCCTCTTGATCTACATGGTAAATAAATAAAAAATATCCAAAAAGTGCAAAAATGGTAATAACAAATGGGAAAGATAGACATTTCCAGGGAAGAAGTTTAACACGCACCTTTCCTCTCCAGTTTCATCCAAAATCCATGCGTAGACAAACGATTGTTTCCCCAACTTCTTACTCTCTTGTTCATATTTATGCATGGTCTTCTTTGAGACTTGTCCTAATTCTAAGAGCAGGCGTCCCATGAGAGTGCTCTTACCAGCATCAACGTGTCCAATAACAACCATGTGGAGCTGCTCCTTGGTGGCTCCCCTCTCACTATTATACTTGTCCATTATATCTTGTTTTGAAATTCGAGGCCTGAACATGCACAGAATGAGTCACCAAGGATCCATTGAAAGGAATAGAAAGGAAAAGTGATACAAACAAATTAGTACCTGGTCCGGGCTTCACGGACTGCTCCATCGCCCTCACCAGATTCACCAATGTTAGGAGTGTTTCTTCCAGATGGGGTGGCACGTCCCGAGGAAGGTGACTGAGTGCCGGGTGTTGAAACGGATGGTCGCAAACCCTCTCCAGAATCTGAGAAAAACATTTTTGAGGGTTATTACTCTTTAGTGTCGAGATTTCCAGTTATGTCCACAAAGGTAGAGAGTACAAACCATGGTCTTGCTTCACAGAAAGAACTTCGAATCCCTTGGTGACATTCACAGTCTTGACTCCAGGTGGCACAACTTTTATGGGAGGTGGCAGAGTGGGAGAGGCAGTCACGTCTGACAAAGCTGGTGTGAGAAGAATGGCCGATTCACCTACTTGAGGAATTTTTCCTGCTGGATAATCATGCGCGACAAAGCCATCACTAAAGGAAAATTCAAACGGCTGAATAATATATCATCTTTCAAAAAATGAGAGATTAGGCAATGGTTATGAAAAGGTAGGTCTCAAAATAAAATGTTGTATTTATCATTTTGAATACATCTAGAATGAAAATTTACAGTACACCAATAGTCCTATAAAATATCAACTTCATACACACTCACACACCCTGCACCCCCCTAAATAGAGGGAGAAAACCCTAGCAAAATATGACTAGCAGATTCTATGAGCCTTGAAGCCCTTCTTGCTACACAAACAGTCAAAATCTTGCACAGAGTTTAACTGTAATAAACTATATTGTTATTGCTCTTTTAAGTTGGTGTTGCTTACTAGTAGAGAAAGATTTGAGGAGAAAGTTGAAAACATAAAAGACAAAAAATGGGGAGAGGCTAGTTGTAAAACTGCACAACCATTCAAATAATACACCTAAACATTATTTCTATGACATGATGAGCTTGGAGTACACAGCAGTCTCAATGGGTTACGATGAAACAGTATGGTTAGTATCATCATTACAGGATTTCATTGAATAGTAAGAGAATTCATGCCTTGTCAAATAGCTAAACAAATTAAATTCATTCCACAATATAATATTTTCTTCTGTAAATTTGTATGAAAATGTAACGATAAAAATCTAAGAGGACATGCGTAGTGCAGCTTGATCACAGCATTAGGATTTCATAGACTAATAAGGCACATCCAACACTTGCCAAATTACAGAGCTGAGTCAAAATGAGAAGTAAAAAATAAATACTGTACATAAGTTATACATTATGTTAAAGGCGCCTTAGAGATTTCTTGATCATTGCATCTGGAGAAAGTGTATCAAAAGCAAACGGAACTAGACTGCCAATGAAGGGGCTGCTCGGCCTAACATATGGCAATTTGCGTAAGACTCGCCTACGGCAGAGTATTCGCCCTACTGGAGATGAAAACTTTTGCTCCCATGGCAAATCAATGGACAAAAACGGTTGAGCATCTAGAATGCAAGATCCATCTTGCAGCCAAGGTTTGCCGTCCTCATCTTCTTCACTAGCATGAAGACCTACAATATCATCTGAATCCATTCTCGAGGTGGGTCTCTCTAGTTGCTTACGAAAATCAGGAGGGTTCAGAGCACCCAACAAGTCAAAAACAAAACTGTCATTGTCCATATCAATATCCTTCTCATCTGTGTCGTCAGCATTGGGAACCTCAGTTAAATTTTCAGGTGTCTCCCCAGGTAAACAAGTCTTCACTAACTGGGATTTAGATTGCAATTTTAAAGATGGTATCACAAATTCTGATTTGGGTTGAACATTAGACTTGTCAGCATTGCCTTTCAAATGAAAGTCAGCAAGTGCAGAGAGACTGGTAAGCTCAGGAACTGTTGCCTTGGAGGCGTGCTGGGCCATGAGAGCAGAAAGGGATGGACTTTCATCATCACTATCAGCACAATTATCGTTGTTGCTTGTTTGAGAAATTTCCTTGAGTAAAGGAGGAATTTTATCTGTTTTTGATGGGAGCGGGGCACAAAAATTTTTAGAGTCTATTTTCTTTGAGGCATGCTGAGCCATCAAAGCTGACAATGATGAACCTTCATCATCACTATCAGAGCTGTCACCACTTTGAGGCACTTTTGAAAACAATGGAGGAACTTTCTTAGGCTGTTGCTTAAGCAAAGGGATATTCAAAGTTTTTAATCCTGATGGGGGTCTTGAAGACTCTGCCATGCTTTTGTCCACCTGATTCACACTATGAACATTCTCAACCTTTCCACTGATTCCACTCGTGAGATTGATTGAGTCCTTGAAGTTTGAATGAATGTTTTCTTTGTCTGAGTCACCAAGTGGCATTGACAGCTTTGGAACTTTGAATGAAAGTTTAGTTGGTGATAGGCCAAATTGTTTCAATCCTGTTTCCTTATCAAGGTTCATGGTGCGAATCCCCTCTTTTATACTGGACATGGTAATTGAATTGTCATCTTACCTTGCACATGAAAGAATGCGAGCAAATGGATCCCATGAAGAGGTGAGCAGGGCATAAAAAGTAAAACAGAAAAAATATATCACCCGTTAGGATCAAAACAAAAGAATTGTCTGATTAAAGTATATGAAATCAATTGTCTGTTGAATCTCACCTATTGATGGAAGAGCCCTTGGTTCTCTTTGAGGAAGAAGAGTTTCTGGAAAGGCAGGAATGAAATTTAGTCATGAAACACTAAAGTAAAGAAAACCAGAAAACATTTCTTTTGTCTTCTAAGGCAGCTGTCACACCTTGCTTCTTTATCTTGAGAGGTGGCTTGATGGAGTCGTCAGCAGCATTTGAAAGAGATGCATCCAGTGACTTGGCAACATCGAAATCGTTTGCTAAGATAATATCAGCCAGGGTAGCCTCTGACATTGAGTCTCCTATCACATTACGTATTTCATCTAAACAAGATCTCAGTCTGGCTTCATCAAGCTCACTTAAATTTCGACTCTGCAACAAAATAAAAGGCAAAGAAGGTTAAAATCCGGAGCAAAATTAGGAAACTTCTATCTTCCTTTACTTGAGAATTGTGGAAAACATACACGTAGACCTAATGTGTCTGAATCTCTTCTTTTAACACACTCAACTCCTTCCTCAGCATCCTCATCTTCTTCTGCTATATCTTCATCTCCAGCTAGGAAGGCTGACATTTGAGCCTTATTAGTATTTCTGTCGAACACATATGCAGCTGTAAAAGGTAAAGGACCGTGTTAAATGATTAAAATAGAGCAGGCTTAAATTCAGGTACTCAAATTACAGGATGTTCAGTGTTTACCATCACTTGGAGAAATGCTGTAATCATCTTCAACAGAGTGCCCGTAGACATCATCATAGCCGTCATACTCTGAAAAAGTAGGAATTAGGATAAACCAACAAAAGGATGAAAGAGGATCGAAGAGGATAGAAACAAAATCCAAGTTGTCTAGAAATGAAATGAATGAACAGGAAAAAGACAGAATAAAACTGTCTTTTCACGCAGAGAACAAAAGTAAGATTTTGTAAAGAGATGAGAGAGACAGTAAATTGTTCACATTTAATGTGATATTTGAGAACACATTTTAAAAACATCTCAGAGGAATGTGTTATATGTGGTCACTAAACTCACAAAAACAAAGTGCAATAACAAGAAGTATTGCATTGCACAGTGACAGGTTATGTTCACTATGTAACATACTTGTTGAATTTCTGGGTTGACAGGTAAATTGGGAATGGGCATGGCATGATAACACAGCGCAAAGCAAGAAGAAAGAGTAGAGCGGTTCAAAGGCCTGCATAAAAACATTGCACAAAAGTATGAAACTCACCTTCAGCATAGTTCATAGATCTTACGTTCCTGTGTCTTGCCATGATTGTACACCCTACAAACCACTAACTTTGAAAAGGCTTCACTCCTAAGCTTCAAACGCAATAGACATAATGGACCGAATCAAATGAAGAAGGTCATGCCATGTCAACAATCGCTGAACGAATAAGTTGTGATGGTGTTCCACATATCAACGGCCAATCAGATCAGAAAGCTACCGGAACTGCATCATGGATCGCACAGTCGCGGGTCATGCTGCGGGTTGCCTACCGCTGCGCCTTCCAGGCGCCGCTCGACCCGCTGTTCGCCGCTGGTGTGTGTTGACATTCAAAATGGCGGCATGTCGTCAGTGCTGTGCTGTGTCGTGGTGAGTCAGACCTTTCAATTGTGTGCGATTTGAGCCAATTTTCGACATGTCCCTGCCTCGCTTCGAGTGCAGGGACACTCCGGCGTCCTGATAAAGGGATGGGTTGGCCGCGGTGGGCCCGGCGGTCGCTGCCTGACCCAAGACGGTTCGGAGGCGCTTAGGCCTAAAGTGGACCATTCTAGGCTAATCGCTGTGCGCCCGTTGATGAAAACGGCCGAGGCTGGCTTTGGCGGCGCGACGCCCGTCCCCGTGAGTGAAGCTGCATGTGGAAATGCGGGCCGGAGCCCTCGGCGGGGCAGGCCGCGTCGCGGTGCCCGCAAAGCCACGGCGCTGCGAGTCCGAATCCGCGACTGCGACATCGACATCGTCTCGTGCGTGGCCTCCTTTGTTTCAGCCACGGGCAGGTTTGGTCCGGTCTCTCCGCTGATATCGCCGTCTCCTCGGCGTTGGGCTTTTTAACTCGCCCCGAGAAGGGCGCTCGCCGCGCTGCGCGACGCGTCCGGGGATAAGTCCGGTCGGGCTGCGGGAAAAAGGAGAGGTCTTAGTCATGAATCGTCGCTCGGCCAGTGGCATCCATCCCATCCGCTTCTGGAATAAATGTCTCCCGACGGTTGTGTCGGTCTATTTGCCACCGCTGCTTGCGTGCGATCAGAGATCGCCGATTGATAACCCCTTCCGGTGATCTTAGCGTTGGATTCGGGTTCGTCTGCTCTTTGGCCGGGCTTGTTTATCCGTCCGAGCACTTATTTGCTGCGAGTCCAGTTTGCTGACGTTCCCGGAGAGGTTAATGTTGACACTAGTACACCTTCCTGACCCAAGGGTAAAAGCATTAGTCCTTGAGTTCATCTTTTTATAGGTCAATTTTTCCATGGTTCTTCATTATTTTATCAAAATTTGACTTTGCGTCCTGTTTCTAATTTTCAATTTAAATTTTGACTGATTTTGAATGAAGTATTTTTGTGTCATCATGTCTGTGCACTCTGGGTAGTAGTTACAACTGAAATTCTGGGACTGCTACTCATTGTGTTTAAAAGTGACAATATATTCTGTTTATCACATTTATCAGTTCTTGGGTTCTTGTTTATGACAAGATATTCCAAGCTACCATTGAATTACATTGGCATTCCTAGGCTGAAGAGACTATTATCTTTGATTCATATAAAATTTGTAATTGTTTGTTTTGGTTTTGTTTGTTTCAGCTTGTGTAACTGTTAGACTAGGAAACTTGAAGCAACGATCAAGTATTAAAAAGGCCAAACACAATCCGCACCCAGCACGCATTGAGGACATCTGAGGATTATTTTCCATCTTTTCTTTTACAATTCAAATGAATCTTAAAGCAACTAGCATTAATTTTTTTGCATCGTAAAAGAAACTATGTCAAATTAATTAGACTTGTGTTGGACTGATATAGCACTCCAGTGCCGATTTGTTGTTTTCGTGTTAATGTAATTTTTCCGCACGACGCGCGGCGCTCTGAGCAGTCACGTCTTGTATACAAAGAACTGTTCTGTGATAAAGCTACTTTTAAGCTCAAGTTATTGTAACACGCAATGTCCAGCGATCCTCAGTGGAAGTCTTTCCAGCCGTCAACCATGGACTCTGACACGGCTATTCTGGACTTTAAGACCCTGTCAATTGCATCCCCCAATGGATCACCATACAATAGTGGTGCAAATGGAAGCAGCAATCACGGCCACTATAATCACTACCCACCCAACTATAGTTCTGGTGGGGGTGGCGGAGGCGGCGGTGGTGGTAGCTCATTTCCAATTGGTACCTTCACTGGAAGAGAAGGTAATGATGGTGGAATGAATGGAGACTCCAATACAAACAGCAGTAGCAGCAGCAACTCCAACAGCTTCAGTCAAGCTCAGTCGGGGCAGCAGTCACAACAGAATAACTCTGATGGAGCCTACCAGAATGCTACTAGAGAGACTGGTATCATTGAAAAGTTGTTGGTCAGTTTCCCCCACTTTTTTTTATTTGAATGAAAATGCATTGAAAGAGGTTTACTAAAATTTAATGTGCCACTGTGTTTGGTTCTATTTTCTAGCATTCGTATGGTTTTATCCAGTGCTGTGAAAGACAAGCCCGCCTCTTCTTCCACTTTAGTCAGTTCAGTGGGAACATTGAGCACTTGAAGATTGGTGATCCAGTTGAATTTGAGATGACATATGACCGAAGAACTGGTAAGCCAATAGCCAGTTTCATCACCAAAATTGCACCAGAAGTGGTAAGAATTATTTCCAAATACCTAAAGGTTTTTAATGTACCAATTATAGTTATGGCATGTCAAAAGTTACAATTTTGCTCTGGTCATAGGTGCTCAGTGAAGAGCGTGTGACCGGAAATGTAACAACAGAGATAAGGTCAGATGGGCAAGGTGGAGAGACACAGGGTCGAATTAGTTACGAAAACAGGGGCGAGTGCTTTTTCCTTCCATATAACAAGGATGATGTAGAAGGTAATGTGACGTTACGCTCAGGTGACAAAGTCAGTTTCCAGATTGCTGCAAACCCCAGGTATGAAGAATGAATTGAAATTTAATTAAACTTTGTTCATTGCAAATTCTAATGTAACTTGTCATTTACTTCGGTTACAGAGGCAACTTAGGAGCTTCACATGTTCGCCTTGAAAACCCTGTGCATCCTGTACGGTACCAGGGTGTAGTCTGTTCCATGAAGGAAAGCTTTGGCTTTATTGAAAGGGCAGATGTTGTGAAAGAGATATTCTTCCACTTCTCAGAATCCAAGAACAAAGAAGAAATCAGACTGGGAGATGATGTGGAATTTACAATCCAGACTAGGAATGTAAGTATTTTCTTGTGTTTCAGTTTTTGTATTAACTGTATTGTTATAAACATTCTAATTGAATCTTTTTTTTTCTAGGGGAAAGAAGTGGCATGTAATATCACTGTTCTACCCCGAGGTTCTATAATATTTGAGGATGTGAATGAAGAGACGATGAAGGGCCAAGTTTTGAAGCCTTTTGAGCGAGGCCAAAATGGTAGACACCAGAATGATCCTCTACCGGGTAGAATTAAGTATCGTGCTCCTGACCATTCAGAGTCTGAAGTGGCCTTTGGTGATAAAGATCAAAAAGGAGATTTCACGTTGCGTCATGGTGACTGGGTTAGTTTCCGTCTTGCTACGGACAGACGCGATAGCCTAAAACGAGCAACAGATATTTCCCTCCTGGATGAATCTTTTAATGTATCTGGTGAACGCCGTGAACAAGGAGTGGTTACTGCTGTGAAAGATGGCTATGGATTTTTAAAATGTGTAGAGAGGGAACCAAAACTCTTCTTTCACTTCAGTGAAGTTCTTAATGTTGACAAAGATGTTTCAGTTGGTGATGAAGTGGAGTTTACCATGATACAGGTGTGTTTTATGGTTCTACCTTTCTAAATAACTGTGTAGTAACATTTACTTTTGTGAAGAACTGTATAAGAGTTTTGTCTTTTTTAGGATCAGTCTTCTACATTAGTTTCAAACATGAGGCAGCGGGCAATACGCATTAAGCACCTGCCCTTACATACTGTGAAGTTTGAAAATGTCATGGAACATAGTGTTAGTGGTGTAGTAACTAAAGACGTATTACCTCCCTACTGGAATCAACGCAGCCCATCTAAGAACCAGGTGTGTTTCAAATATTTTCTTTTCTTCTTTCCCCTGTTAGCATTTCCCCCAGAAAAACTTTTCAAACATCCCATTTGTTCCAGTCTAATGAGAAACCTGAACCAGGAACCATTTCTTACACTGTTAATGACAGTAAGAAAACAATTACCTATTATTTGAAAGACTGCGATCACAAGAGCATCCCCAAAGTAGGCGACCAGGTATGTTGATCTCATTTGTTATGATGGTGTAATGTCATTTTTTTAAGCTGTAACCTAATAATTTTATTTATTGGTCTAGGTCGAGTTTGACATAGCTCAAGTTAAGCGCAACAAAGAGATTGTGGCTATTAATGTTAAAGTTAGTCAAAGAGCAGCAGGTGGAGACCGTGGGGATGGTGCATTGCATCAGGGCTACATTGCAGCACTGAAGGATGGTTTTGGCTTCATTGAGAATTTAGCTCATGACATGGAAGTTTTCTTCCACTTCAGGTGTGTAAAGAATAATTTCTTCATTATATATATATTTCCTCTTCACCTTGATTCTGAACAACATCGATCTTTTATTTATTTGCTTTGTGCTTGCAGTAACCTGGATGGTGATGGAAATAAACTTGAACTTGGCAATGAGGTGGAGTTTATCCTGAACATTAGAGGAACATCTGGTACTTGCATGTCTGCGGAAAATGTGAAAGTTTTACCTAAGGGTACCCTCAAGAGCCCTACAATTCTTCCTGAAGTTTTGGATGGGAAAGTGGTTCGTCCACTTCGTTCAGTCAACCCAGATCAAGATCAATATGCAGGGCTGATCCAGGCCAGCACAGATACTGGTAAGCACAATTTTACACTCAACTTTTGGCATGTTTATAGTGTATGTTCTTAATGTGTGGACTTGTTTTTAGAGGGTGAAAAGGGAGCAGAATATGAGTTTGGCATCACAAGTCTCACCAACAAGAGAGAGTTGTTACAAATTGGTGATCCTGTTCATTTTCAAGTGGACAGCCAGGGAAGAGCTGCCAATGTTGTTGCAATAAGGAAGAAACGGCGAGCTACTGTAGATTCAGTGAAAGGTGCTTACAATGCATTCCTGTTACTTTGATTTGTGTTGTTCTTCTGTTACTCATTGGCAATTTAATGCACAGGTCTATTTGGCTTTTTGGCTTATGAAGTTGAGGAAGGAAAGAAACTTTTCTTCCACATGACAGAGGTAAAGGATAATGCAACCCTTCAAGCAGGAGACACAGTGGACTTTGTCCTCGTAACAAAGCACCGTACTGGGAAGTCTTCTGCCTGTAATGTCACTAAAGTGTGGTAAGTAACATTGACTGATGACAACACTTTTGGCACGTCTCTGTCCAATCTCCTGTATATCAATTGCGATCCCTTATTTCAGTGAGAATACGCAGAGGCCTGAGCGCCTGATAAGCCGCCTTCGAACTACATCTGTGGATGATACTGGCCCTAAACTTACAGTCTTAAGGCAGCCAAAGGGTCCTGATGGCACAAAGGGATTTAGCATTGCCCGTGTTTCAAGGTTGCCAGGTGTAGGTGTTGAATAATCTGAGTGAGAAGTGCAGTCTTTCCCTGCCTACATTCGTTTTTAACTTAGGTTTCCGGGTTTTATGTATGCTTCAGCCAAGCATCAAAATTTAAAATAATGAAGTAAACCATACTTTTTTTAACTACAGTTCTTTGTCAGAAAATGAAAAATAATGTCTGCTTTTATGCAGGTCACACCCAACACCTTAGGAATATTATTTTAATGAGTACAATTTAATAAACTCCAAGCACTGTAAGTGGGGAAAAACCTCCACCATGTTCACACTTAAGTGTCGATGTGAGGTTTGAAGTACATTTAAGTTGGCTCCCAATTGTTCTGGCATTTATGCCCGACTGCCATGCTAGTCCTCACCACTTGCTTACGTGAAGAGGTTTAGCTTCTTTATTATTATTTGTAGTTGGGACTTCTGTTTTGATCTAATAAAGTATGAAATGAAAACTGAGTCTCATGCAGGCTGTTAAGACCTTGTCATTAGAAGCCGTTAAAATGAATTGAATGTTGAATTTTTTTTTAAATATTTTTTTTTCCATCTGAGTGAGTATGTTTGAATGATCCACAAGTACTAAAGCAGAGGCTCCTGTGTCGTTAGCCACCAACACTGACTGCAGCCAATATTCCATCTTGTGCCTAGCTTGAGCTGAAAGACAGGAATCAATCTGCTCAACATTAGCATTGTATATGAATGGGTGTGTGTGTGTTTGTGTGTGTGCATGAGTGTATGGTGTCTGTCAGCATTAAGGTCAAGGTTGATAATTCTTTGACCTTCATTCTGACGGTCGCAATGAACCCTCTCCCTTTCTTTAAATCACTCACTTGTACATGAATTGTGCATATTTGTATTCTAAATGATGAGATAAATCAATTAATTGAGTAGGTGGATTGTTATTGCCTACATTCGACCTTTACTTTCTTTAATTGAAGAACAAGAAAGATCAAGAGAGCTTCTGATGACAGTTTCACAATTTTGTATAAAATTGTTTATTTCTCTTCAATATCCTTGCTCTTTCTTTGTTCTGCTCTGGACCAAAACTGCAGTAAAACCTGTTGGTCTGTAAGTTTTACTGTGTACATTTAAGCCTGTATTCAGTTGCCTGTAGCTTTGATATAGTAACATACAAGTTGATATTGGAACACACTATTTAAAGACAGCTGTGTGATCAAAACCGCAGTTCAGTTATATAATTATACATCCTTATTTTTACAACCTAAGATCATGTGCCGACTACTGAGTGAACTACTAGTTGTGCCTTTAGTCCCAGTCATGTAAATGTCGGCTACCAAAACTAAAACGTGATAGTAGATAGATAGCCATGGTTTCTTTACTTAGTCATAGCTTTCCAGCTTGATTTGATCAATAAGTGAGAAAGTGAGAGGTGAAGAGCAGCATTTCTGGGATTCTGCAATTTGATACGTCTTTGTTGTAGCCATCTAGATACATCATGGTTCTTGTCAAGAAAATTTTTTTCCATGGTATGCATGGTATACACTTTTACTATGAACATTTCAAGCAGTGTTAATGGAAGTTATACATACCATCAGAATGAGGCTTTTTTTGGTTTTTTTAAAGAACTTATTTCATTGTACTGCTTATTATACTTGTACATTATTGGTTTGGATTGATCAAAATAAAATGTTATTGGATTGGTATTTTTCTCATTTGATATCCAGGCTAAATGCTTCACTGAAACCACATTTCATACTCCATGTTGGAAAATGATTGGGATGAGAACATAGTTCAAAATAAATGGCAGTGTCATGGATATTAAATAGTCATGATTACAGCAATGAACGCCATAATCCTCTTTATTAAGGCTAGTTGGCTATATACACAAAGAGACATTGATGTTTACCACGATGGGATCTCCTTGACACCAGGAGGTGGTGGAGGTCTGCCATAGAGGGCTGAGCGATCACGGTATCTTGTCATTCTTTGCGTTTCGTTATCATCATATATTTTCCCCACATATATTCCAACTAAAGGGGACACGAAATAGAAAACGTTTTGGGGAGAGAAGAATTGGGCGAGGGCCTTACTGTAGCTCATCTGTAACAATTAAAATATAAGAAATAAGTGATAAGTTAACATTTACGATCAACACAAAACATGAAGAAACTGACTTTGCTGCTTTTGCTGTTTCTTCCACTGTTGAGTGTGAGACCAATCGGCGTAGATAGACCAAGCCACAACAGTAGGAAAGGTGACTGACACCCAATAACGTTGAAGAGCCCACGCAAAACTCATAAGGATTCTGAAATCAAGAGAAAAATCAGATTAGCCAACGGTTTGATATTACATAAGTATGAAAGGGTGGCAAGTTTAAAATGCCGTGAGGTGACAGTTGGGTCAGCAAGGTGCAACACTGCACAAATATGACTCAAGTGATTGTGAATGCTGGATGGTCACAAGAAATGGTACCCATGGAAGAAAACATGAATGACAGGCCAAAGTATACTTGCATAACCTCTGCATACAAATAAACAATAACACCACAATGAACTAAGCAAAATAAAATCTTGGATAAATAAAAAACCTTTAAAGAGTATAAAAAAAAGCAAAGCAACTGTTATTTTCAATTATTTTCGATTGAAAAGCTTTCCCAAAGATAGCACCAGGTCATAACCTAACCGATCCTCCCCAGAAAAGCACTTGATTCCATCAGCTTTGAGATTAAAACTATGTTTCCGATTTTAGGTCTATGATAATTAATTAACTTACACCTCTCACACGTGAAAAATGTCACGTTAAAGCAGATGGAAGGCAAAAAATAATGACGACAAAAAGAAAGGCCCTATCCGATCTACAACTTGCAGACGAAAGGTCCTTTCAGTTGTGGCGGAGAAATCACGGTATGAGAATTTTAAGTAGCAGCATTAGCATGTAGCATTCATTTGCTTTGCAGCAAAAGGAAAACATAAAAAAATAGCAATTGTCTCTTTTTGAAGAGCTTAAAATAACTAGGTCCGGCCAAAGGACCAGTCACACTCTTTAAAACTGAGACACATTTCTGGGTAACTTACCGTAACTGAAAACGCCCATTTCTGAGCTATGAAAAATACCAAAGAACTTTTTTTGTGGCGTGAGGCGCGCGTGTGTGCTTTGTGCTTTGTGCATTTTGTTTACATTGAAGCGAAACCAGTATTTTTCTTGTTCTGACATGAGATTCGCGGTGCTCGTGCTCTGAATTTCCGTGTGCATTTATATTTTACATTGAGGACGTACTTGGTTGCTTTTAATCTTGTCTGGACAATGGAAGTCTCTTGGCGGTTATTGCGCGCCGTTGCACTGAATAAAAGAGGCTCAAGACATTTTAGCAAAGTTATCAGTAGCGACCCAGGAAAACTGACTAAGTCGGATTTTAAGAAGTTCCTCGTACAAATGGATATGTCACTTGTTGACGGCCATACCTGCCTTCAGTCGGAGTGCAAGGCATGCTCAGTGAAATCGCCGGGTAGCCTCTACATAAACAAAACAACAGGTGAGATTTTGAAACAGTCCTTTCCCTTTTAAACGTTCTTGCACCTTACCAATCCTTTGTCACTCTGAGAATTGTTCCTTTTTTTTTTATTTTGCAGGGTTTTTTACTTGTGTCAAATGTAGAAGTTATGGTGAATGGACAGCGCTTCAAAGACTCTATCGTGCCATTCCAAGCAAAGGAAAGATGAAGGAAGATCTGTCGGAACTCAAGTCACCCTTGAATGGAATCAAATCATTTCCCAAAGAACTCAAGTTAAAGGAAACTCTCATTGAAGTGCACACCAAATCGGATGAAGATATCCTGAAATTAATGCAAAAATTTAATCTACCAGTATGTATTTTTCAGTTTGTATTCTATGGGATGATTTAAATGAAACATCGATTAAATAATCGTGTTTTTAAACTTGATATTTTCAGCATACAACCCGTGAAGTTCTCAAGCAGATGGGTGCCTGTTTAGATTCATCCTGTACCTCCATGTATTTCCCTTTCAAGTCAATTGATGATTTAACTGCAGGTATTCACATTTTCACTAATCTGTTTTATAAAGTATGGCAGCGTTTTTTATAACTTCCATATAACAAATTTATCCATCACTTTGCAGGTTTCAGGGTAATATCAAGATGCTCCGATGAAGAAACATCATTATTGGGTGCTGACCAATCAGGCCTCATCATCGTGTATCCTGAAAGACTGACCACTCTTAAAAAAACCAGCAAACTCAAAACAATCAATTCTGCCATTGTAGTTACTTCTGTAAGAGATGCTTTGGCCCTTACTAAATCTGGAGTTTCAAGTCACATCATTTGTTTGCCACATGGTAATTTCATTATCTGATGTTCTGTCTAATTGCATTGATCATAAAAATTTCTTAGTTCTTCACTTCAACCATTGACTTATCTAAATGTCTTTTTCAATAAAATCTGCAGGTATTAGCAAGCTACCCATAGAAACACTTCCCTTGTTTGAAATTTATACAAAAATAACTTTCTGGATTCGAAGTTGTGCTGGAATGTGGGATGCTATTCGGTGCTTTTCTAATAAACTTGATGCAAAACGGTGCTTTGCTGTGAAGTAAGCTCACATCCTTCTTCTTGTTTTCTGTTGTACTGAATTACATTTGTCTAGGAGAGCTTGACTTGCCAGGTTGAAGTTAAATTGGAACAATGTAACAATCTCTAGTTTATAATTTGATTTGATTTGGGTCTATTTTTCAGGCCAAGTGCTCATGCGCCCAGTGCAATGCACGCCCATGAAAATGGTGAAAATCTAGTATCAATGTTGTCTGAAGCAAGACCTTTACATATTGAAGATGTCACATCATTCAAAAGTCTGAGAGCAGAGGTCATGTCGGAATTGTCTAATGTAGGAAAGGTAACCCATGATAATAGAAACATACAATTTAATTCTCTTCATGTAAAACAGATCTACTTTCTACAAGAATAAGTATATTCAAAGTTAACCTGTTACAGGTTGAAGGAATCAAATGGCGGTGTTTTCCATTACTGAACAATTTGCTCAAAGGATTTAGAAGAGGTGAATTAACAGTGCTGTCTGGATCAACTGGTAGTGGCAAAACAACTTTAATGGGCCAATATTCTCTTGACTTGGCAGAGCAAGGAGTATGTAGATTCTTGATTCACTGTAACCAGAGTATTTACCAAACTATTTTTTTTTTAAATTTCTCTTGTTTTTTTTTAGGTGAATACACTGTGGGGTAGCTTTGAAATACCCAATCATCGTCTGGCTCGCACTCTGCTGACACAACTGGCAGGGATCCCTTTGCAGGATCATATGGATCGTTTTGATGAATTTGCAGACAGTTTGGAAAGACTTCCTATGTATTTTATGAAGTTCCATGGGCAGCATTCTCTTGAAAAAGTGATGCAGGTAAAAGAAAAAGAAAACAAAATAAAAAAACTCCAATACTTTTTATTGAGAGGAGCTGCACAATTTTGCATTTTGAAAAGCTCGTCTCTTGTAGAGTTCATCTTGCTCTTGTTTGACAGGTACTCGAACATGCTCAGTATGTGTATGACATTGGCCATGTGATAATTGACACAGTTCAATTCATGATGGGTGTCAGTGAAGATAGCAGTGGTGCTGATCGCTTTTGGAGGCAGGATAACATCATAGCTGCCTTTCGAAGTTTTGCTACTCTTTACAATTGTCATGTCACTCTAGTCATACATCCAAGGAAAGAGCGTCAAGGAGAACACCTTGGTCTTAACTCAGTATTTGGTGGAGCCAAAGCTACCCAGGAAGCTGACAATGTCCTTATGCTTCAAGACTACCGCGAATCACAAGGCGGCCTGTTTTTGAAGGTAGCACTATAAAGTAAATAATTATCACTTTCAATATTTTTTTCAAAGTAATCTCTACAGTTATTTTATGGTTTCAGGTGTTAAAGAATCGGTTTTGTGGCGATGTTGGTAGAGTGCCTCTAGAATTTAACAAGTCATCCTTAAGATTCACTCAGCAGCAAATGTTCCCCTCTGACAAACTGGGAAAAGAGGGTTCCTGGAACAAATTGAATGTTCTTGGGTGAATACTGTCTCAAGACTGTGTACAAAGTGACTGTCTGAATTAACTGTAGAATAACAAATTTTTACTGTGTACTCGTTTTTCTTCATTCCATACCTTGATTTTCTACAAGAACTTACAATTTGTTCAATGAATGGAAAAAGGTGTACAAGAGAACAATGACAAAGGAGGTTCAACAAAACAAGGCTGTTCAAATCAGAAAGAAACACAAAGTTTAATTAGGAGCTCCACAATCTACATAACTGAACACAGAATTTCACACAATAGTGCATCCTGTACAGTCTTTGCCTGTTACTTGTCCATTTACAATTCTTTAAAAGGAAAACCTTACAGAGACTAGATGATGCTACACATGGTAACTAAAACCTAGAGTATACTATAAGAGCCAGTTGGACTCATATGACAGAAACGGCAACACTACACACAGACACCAACACAATTTGATAACAATACAAAATACAACATTTAATAATGATAAATAACAACAAATAAGAAGGGAGGGAAAATCATAAATAGAGTGAAACTGCCAAATTGAAGATAAATAAAACTTTTTTTTTCTTTCAAACAGTCAGGTCCCTAAATTTAAGAAATGATCTTTTAAGTTAGCCTTGGCTCTCAAAATTACAGGATGTGAATGTACTCAAAAATATTTATATCACAGTGGGCCCAGGAAAGAAAACCAGAAAATGACCAAATCATGGAGTATTCATCTCATTTAAAAATACTTATAGATAAAGCAAAAGTCTTTAAAAGGAGAAGAAACTTAGACAAACAACAACTTACCTTCAAAGCATAAGAGAACATTTCAAGTGACCTTTCAAAATACATTCATTTGTATGCCTTGTTATATGATATTCCAACACACCACTTAAAGCAACAAAACACCACCACTCATGCAAAGTTACAGAATATTATGAATATAATTTTTGGTACGTACAGACAGACCTATCCTATGCAAGCAAAGGTATTGGTTATTGGAACAATCAATCACAGTAACAAACAGCATTTATTGAACGTACAAAGACACTCCCAATAACTTAATTTATGTACAGTTTCTTACTCTTCGATATGGCAACTAAGGGTTGAGCATGATTAAGGAAAAAGATTCAAAAAATATTTAAACGGTAGCTGGCGGATGCTTAAAAATGAAGCCAAAAGAATACAATAATAGCAAACATAACAATTAGTCCAGGCATCAGAAGCTTAGAAGCTGCCGTTTGTCCTGAACAAGCTTGTAAATTACGCAGATCCTGAGACATTCGTGTACGCTCAACGTTGCATTGTGAGAAGCGTTCACGAAGCACAACTAATTCTTCTTCCAACTCTTCTACTTTGAGGATGAGTCGCTTACATTGCTCATTCCGTTCTTCAAGACGGGGCTGTTGAAGCTCTTGCTCCTGTTGTAATTTAGCAATCTGCCCTTCAAGTTGAGCTACACTCTCAGGGCCATTTTTAACATACTTTTCATCTTGATGTAGCTTTGTAAGTTGTGCCTCCAGCTGAGCCACAAATTCAACACCATTGCGAAGCTGCTTCTCATTTTGCTGAGCTTCCCACTGAAATTTCTTCAGGACTTCGGTTTCTTCACTCTCTCTATTGTTCACCTGTAAGAAAAAAAAAATACATGCATCACGAACACATTCACAGTTCTGAAATGTCAAAAGTCAAACGTCAAACAGTCAAAATGCCACCAGAATAAGAGTGACAGTAAGAAAATTGAAACTTTACCTGGCTTTGAGAATCTTCCTTGTTGTCTTTCAATCGCTCCATCACTGCTTGCACCTTTCTTAGTTCAGCATCTAGCTGCTCATTTTGTTTTTCATATTCTCTCTCCTTTTCCCTCATAGATGCTAACATCTCATTTTGCATGGCAATTGTGGCTTTAAGCCTGTGGATGGAGTTGGTATTGTTGCCAGCATTATCAAGCTCCTTTTTGGATATTTGGTCCTCTTCACTAATAAGTTCAGTGTTATCCATTTCTACCTTCAAAGTATCACTGATACGCTGAAAGATTAGATCCATTGTGACTCCAGAATCCAACCCAGCTAGATGGGATTGCACAGCTTCCAATTGCTGCTGAGTAAGATCACCGTCAGCTTGAAGACGCTCAAGCTTTGCTTGAAGAGCACGCTCTGCTTTGATTTGCTCTTCTAGCTGAGACTGCAACAGTTTCTTCTCCTCTTCCAAGGTTTGAAGGGCTTCTTGATGTTGTTCCTCTGTGGTATTCAATTTTGCAGATTGCTGACTGTACTTCTGAGCAAGTTCCTTCAAATCTTGTTGGCTTCGAGCAAGAAGCTGTTTCAGTCCATTGCACTGAATTTCCACACTAGCTTTTGAATTTTCTAGGTCTTGCAGTTTTTGAACAGCATCTAACTTTTCCTCTAAGATCTTTTGCAAGCCTTCTTTGGCAGTCCCTTGATAATTGATCTTGTCTTCTTGTAATTTACGCAATTCTTCTCGTAGAATATCTTCTGTGGCATTTTTAGCAAATGTCTGCAATTGACACTCCAGTATTTCAACACGAGAGAGCAAGCGATCTTCATCAATAAGAGCTTTCCAACCAAGATCACAACTTTTTCTTAGGTCATCCAAAAGTCGTTGTAAAGTGTTGAGTTTCTTCTCTAATTGACTCTCTCTTTGAAGAGCTTCTTGAAGATAACTATTAAGCGCATAAAGTTCCTCAAATCCAACAGTCTCCTGAGAATTTACAGTTGAGGGACTGGCTTTTGCCTCTTTGCCATCAGGCAAATACAAACGCAGAGTGGCAATAATACAACCATGTGTCACCTTGCCTGCATTCTCCATGACATCGACACCAAACTGCACAATATCTCCAGAGCAGACTTCTCTTGGGGTCGATTCATCACCACCTTTGCTGAGTCTATGATTATTGACAAAAGTTCCATTGCTACTTTTGGTGTCTTGGAGGTAAAATTTGCCACTATCGTACCACAGTAGGGCGTGGTTTCGAGACAGCACTTTGCAATCAAAAATAGCATTGTTGGCAGCTGGTTTGGCTCTTGCCACTGAGCGTCCAATCTTCACAGGTTGATCAAGAATGAGATTGCGTTCCTGAAAGTGGTGGGAGTTGAAGCGGCAAGTAAGAACTCCACGACTTGTCATTTTGTTGTTACTTGAGGTAAGGCCAGCAAAAGTTTCTGTCAAGGGTACAGCAAAATCCCTCCCCCAGCCATACTTCACTACCACCATCACTGCAGGGGGATCATTCAACACATTGTGATGCTACATGTTGCATGGGTTGTTCACAAGGGACCGCCGCAGAAACCAAGGGTGGACAAGTAACTTGGAAGAACCAGCAGCAGCAGAGTGCCCTCCACTCGTTTAACCAATCTCCACGTCTTACGGAAACAGCTGATGCCTGCTCGCGAAACACTGCAACAAGGAAACAAATCTTGCCAAAAAGGTCAAACCTTTGCAGTCGACTTAGAGGAAAGAGTTAGAGTCCAAATGGTGCAGACCTAAATATAAATACAGAAGGAACTCGCAGCGGATTCGGATAGTAGTAGCAAATACTGAAAATACAGAGACATGTAACGTCAGAGCGAATTCACCACCCTCTTTTCCAGAAGGCTTAGGGAATTTCAGCCCCTTTCCCCTTTCCCCACTCTTGGCCAACGTGCAGCATAAATTGAGCAGTCACCTACAACATTTTGGAGGGATGAATTTTTATTCAGATGTTTGGAAAGAATAATGAAACATAAGATAAGCAATTGAGATTTATGAGATGCTTTGAAGTCACCATTTTCAGCAATAAATTTCTGATTATTGTTGCACTCAAGAGTTGGTCAACCCGAACGATAGCTCGATCCAAAATTCAATAGGTCGTCTGCTTGCCTTTCGTTTTCGTTCATCGAAGGAGGAAGGCTGGCAAGGCGAAATATTGAGCTGATATATACTGCTGTTGATCGTGACATTCCTTTAAGATGTCCCTGAAGTATCAGGTTTGTTTCTCTTTGCTTCTTGTTCTTAGTTATCTCACAATGTAGGAAGCACTATGCTTTCTCCCACGTTTCTGATAATTGTTCCAATGGTGTCTATGAAGGTTATGACAGTATTTTCTTTTCTTGTTCATGGAACCATACTTTAAAGTGACCCTACATGATATGTATTTTATTTGTATTCCGTCATATGGCAATGTCTCAGTACTTTTCTCTCTCTATGTACTGGTAATCCATGTCTCAACATCTTCATGTCCTCCAGCACTAAAATTTCACTCTATCCATTTGTTGTTGTTTCTTAATTATTTTTGTGTTCCTTTGTTGCAGCGTTACGAGCCGCCTTCAGAAGGGAAGACTCTTCTCCTAGGCTATTATGAGACATGGAAAGACCCAAGAAAACCTGAAAATCAGCCTCAGCCCAAGTTGGAATCGGAGAAAGGCACTTACTTCCCCTCTTGGGGCAATATTCTTGGTGCATCAGCTTTTGTGTCTCTTTTGGCAACAATGACCCATTACAGGCTAAAACCCAGATGGTGAGAGCTACAAGTTCTAGTATAGAACATTTATATGGTGAAAAATGGATACTTATTCCTCTAGATGTTCATGTGTAAAATATTTTGATGTCTGAATGATTCTTCCTTCTCAGACTTGTGTTTTTAAAGTGTTAAGAGGACCTGGTATCCCCTTGAAAACATGCTGTAAATATTAGGGTGAAATAAAAAATTGCGACAAACTTTCCTTTATGTGGCGTCTTTTATTTCTTATCTTCCTAAATGCTCTGCCTCAAGGGGGCAGTAATGAATCATCATCTCTCTCGATTCTTGGGCCAAGATTATCCCAGGAAGTGCTATGGGTGGTACTTGGTTTGCAGCATAGTTTGCCGCAACCATTCTAAAAACAGACACAACTAATTAATCAATAAAAAATTAAATTTACAGATGAATAGAAGAAAAGTTTTTTACAAACCTTTAATCTTTCCCCAGCAGCTTGCCAGAATACTAGATTGGGAATTTGTTCTAGTCCCTTTGCACCCAATATTAAACGTCGATAAAGTGTCCCTCCAATGATGTAGACAAGAATTACCGTAAGTAATCTATAAACATTGATTTACAAAACTTTAACAGTCATGGAACTCAGACTCAACTGTGAATCAAAAATATGGCAATACGTACAAAACAGTAATAATTGTGCCTCCACCTATTCTGTCAGGGTGAGAGCAAACTAGCTGAGAGTACACCTCAAGCATGAAAAAGCATAAAGAAGAATCTTTTTCTTCCCTGGCTTCTTTAATGAATCGCATGGAATTCTGTGCAATTGAATAAAAAATTAGAACACCCAGCAATACCAAAAAGTATTAAATTGTTTGTGAAGCCTTACCTCAGCACTGTTATTGTGATTGCAGTGGATCATGACAAAAGCATATCGAGGGCCACTGCAGTTATACTTTTCAGGGTATCTATCACCGCTGCCAAATATCATCATCATCCAATCCCCTGCAACAAGAAAAAGAATATAAAGGAGACTTTATAACAGGAACCACAAGGAATGAAGTTCCCAGCAGAGACGATCACCTCCTTTGACAACACTGGTGTGATTGACACGTCCAAGAACAGTAGTTCCGTTTTGGAGAACTCCTGCAAGAGGATCAGTCTTTGACGCATTACCGCAAACTGCAACTGCATACTCAGAATTGATCCCATCATTATGGCTAACAGTAGTAAACCTTGAAAAAAAATAAAGGATGCCCATTTCAAAAAAATGACTGGAAAAAGGTGAACATTGAAGCAAAATGAATTTCAAGAGTCAAAGAAGGAGTACGTAATTCAACTATGCTAGAGGCGGACTCAAATAAAGTGGTAGTAAACTTCACGTTTTACCTAACGGTGGATAAACCCCGCAAGATCCTTGCTTGCTCCGTATCCGACGACTTAAATTTAGAATCACAATATTGTGAAGCGTCACACAGGGAGACTGTCAGGCAAACACACAAGAACGTCGCCAACGTCGCTGCACGCCGAGTAGGCCGGGGAACGGAATTCCCCATGGCGCACATGACTTCTCATGTTACTCCACTGGTCCTCCGGGATGAACGCCCAATTCCAGTTTCAGAGCGGTTTCACCCCCATGACGACTGACTCAACAGCGCTCGCTCAGCTGACAGTAGCGGAAGCGGACTGCGTAGCGCAGCACCCCATAACCTCCCCTACCCACCCCCATTAGGAATGCCAAAATGTCTTCGCGGACAGCAAGAGGACGAACGCGAGCCCACCCACGTGCCATTCGAGGCAACTGGTGCCGCCACTGCGAGGGAAGTCCACGGATGCCGAGACTCTGCTATCGCAGTGGGCCAATCTTTGGACGTCCGCAAAAGCATTTTGTCTTTGCCGCGCGCCCCGCCTCACAGCCTTCATCCGGTCCGTTCCCGTTCGCCCGCAGCGCTGCGCAGTGCCGCTACTCCGGTTCCAAGGTCCTCTCGGGCCTTGCGGAGCCGAGTCGTTGTGAGCGCAGTGAGCTGAGTTGATGTGAACGCAAGCGGACCGTTGTCTGTTTCTGTCGCTCATTTCGGCGGCTTCAGTTTTGTTGATGCGCTCACGGTCGACGGTCGACGCGGTGCCGCGAGTGTAAACAGCCTTGACTGAAAGCTGGACGTGATAAAAAAAAGTTGATTTTAGGTAGTGATGATTGTGTGGTGGTGACCATGGCAATTTTGTGCAACTGGGGAGTATGGAGTTTACTCTTGGTGTTCCTATTTATCCCGTGTATCAGGACGCAAGATGTGGATACTATCAACAAAGGTGAGTGATTGACAAAATTCAAATTCTTGTAGGAAGATTAAATACTTCCCCTTTGCATTGGGGTTAAGTTTAAATTTTGCGTTTATTTTTTGTTTGCCTGGCTATCCTTTGGTTACATTTTAGGGCGTTAAACTGTCAGCATAATGCCATTCACAGTTTTGAATGGAAGGCTGAGCTAAAAGAATTAATTTAAACTTCTTGTGATTTAATTTTGAAACCATAATTCACATGTTATCATTAGAGTGCAAGGTTCTTCCTCTCATTATCTTTGTTTACTATTCTACTTTGTACTCCTCCAACTTATCTTTATCAATTTACCACCTTATCAATCGTTGGAATTTACGTCGATAAATTGAATTAAAAAAATAATAAGAAGGTCTCAATTCTCTGTTGTCGCGTGGACTTACTTGCAGTCAGGACTTTGAGATCTTAATTTAGTTGACGCTGTCTGTCCTAGTGTTGATTTGATAGGTGGTGGTAGTACACTCGTACTTGTGTAACCGATTGTAAGTACACCCGAATGACTGGTGCCTTGCGTGTCATTCCGGCGGCGGATAGGAAGTACGACGAGATGACGACGGCAACGGAGGGCTTGTCGCCGTGGCCGCGGGGCGACGCGCTGTGGGCACGATGGGCGCGATGCTCGCGGTGTGGGAACTGGCGGGTGCGTGGGAGTTGCGTGAGAGCGGCTGGGGGCGGGGCGGGCGTCGCGTCGGCCCTGCGGGCCCGAAGGCCTGCCCTGCCCTTACTGATTCCGAGAGTCGTTTTCGTCGCCCTGTCTCTCTCGCACTCATGGGGCGTCTCGTACAGGTGCGAGAGAGACAGGGCTTCGAAAACGACTCTCGGGATCAGCTGCCCGGCCTGTTGGTGCAGGCTGCAGGGTTCCGGCAGTGGCAGTGCAGCGCGGGGCGTCGGTGCCTTGCTCTTGCCCTTGGTCGCCGCGACGCCGCCTTGGTGCCCCGCTCCCCGTGGTTCCCCGTGTTCCTCGTCCCCCGCGGGGCGTTGCCTGGCGTTGCCGGCGTTGTTGGCGTTGCCGGGCCCCGGGCCGGGACGCCGTTCAAACGGCGCTGCAGCGCTGCGCCCCGCCGACACCCGACTCCGCCGCCGCCCAGCTGACTCACTCCGAAGAGTCGTTGGGGCGCTCTGTCTCTGTCGCACTCATGGGGCGTCCCGCTGGGGTGCGAGAGAGACGGCGACGAAACGACTCGTCGGAATCGTTCGGCCAGCAGGCGCCCGTAGTGCACCGCGGGGTGGCACTCCACGTCCTGCTCCACGACCGCGCTGACCGCGACGCCGTCGAGCCCAGTCGCTTTCGTCGCTCTGTCTCTCTCGCACTCATGGGGCGTCCCCTGTAGGTGGGAGCGAGACATCGCAACGAAAACGACTCGGCATCAGTCTAGAGGCCGGACGGCGCACTGCGTACTACTTCGCGCTCACGCGGTGGACGACGGTCGCGCGGGGCGCCCGGGTGCGGGCGGGGCCCCTCAGTGCTTCGCCTCTCTGTCCCTCTCGCACTGCACTGTACAGGACGCCCCACGAGTGTGAGAGAGACAGAGCGACGAAAGGACTGGTCTGTTCAGTCAGGACCAGCTCGACTATGCCATGCCTACGGGGCTGCTAATCAGCCTCGCGGATTACCTGGCTCGCTAATTTGCTTAGTGTCGACCGACAAGCTGGGCCATGTCCACGGCCATGTCGACCACCGTGTCCGCCAACGCCCACGGCCATGTACACCATTTTCCACCAATGGTTCACACCTGGCCCGAGTACACCATTCCCCAATGGTTTCCACGCACCATGTCCACCAATGTGCACGGCCATGCCGACAACCATGTCCACAACCACGTCCACGACCATGTCTACCCTTGTAAGCGCGATCGAGCGACCAATGCGCCTAACGCAGGCAAAGTGATGCATAGTCGATGCAGTTCGTCGTAGTCCTGCAGACTGATTCCGAGAGTCGTTTTCGTCGCTGTGCCTCTCGCACTCACGCACTCAGGGGGCGTCCGTACAGATGCGAGAGAGACGGAGCGAACGAATACGACCCTCGGAGTCCCGTCTGCTGGCTCGCTGGCGTGTGGTGTGTCGCTGCTAGAGGCCCATGCCGCCACGCAGGCCGCCGTCAAGGCGCACCGCACCGCACCGCGGCCCGGACTTGAACAGCTGCAGCGTTTCCGCCGCGCCACGCCACACCATGCGCGCCATGCCGCGGCACTCGACGCAACGCGATGTTGGGACTCGCGTCACGATGTGTTGCCCCCCCCCCCCCCTTTTCACGACGTGACGCGACGCCGGCCCGCGGCGAGGATGGAATGAAATGGAGTGAAATGTGGATCGGAAGCGGCTTAGCTCGGCGAGAAGGTCGAGGGCGGCGGCGTGCAGCGGACTGATGCCGAGAGTCGTTTTCGTCGCTCTGTCTCCCTCGCTCTCTAGGGCGCCCCGTGGAGGTGCGGGAGAGACAGAGCGACGAGACCGACTCTCGGAGTCAGTCTGCTGCGTGCGGCCGTTGGAGGAACTGATGCTATCGAGGATGAGGCTCGGGGCGGGGCGGGGCCGAGGGCGGGGCGCGAGCGCCGCGAGCACACACTGCGGGTTCGGGCGGCCCGCCCCGCGTCCCGCCCCGCGGCACGGCATGCATGCGCCACATCGCGCACTCCTCATCGCGCTCCTCGCTAGTCTCGCCATTATGACCGACGCCCATCCCCGTGTTCACGTTCCCGCGGCCCTTCGCCGCGAAGCAAGCGGAAGCAAGTGCGGCCCGGAGAACCGCTGCGCTGGAGTCCGTGGCCCGAATCTCGTGACAGCACGCCAACGCCCCCCGGCAGACCGATTCCGAGAGTCGTTTTCGTCGCTCTGTCTCTCTCGCACCCATACGGGACGCCCCGTGAGTGCGAGAGAGACAGAGCGGCGAAAACGGCTCGCGCAAGCAGTCTGCAGCGCGGCCGCTTGCCTCGCGAAATTGTCGCGGTCATGATGCATGGCGTGCGCGCTGCGTCGCGCTGCGCGGGAGGCTGGGAGGCCGTCGCGTCGCCGAGGAGGACGTCGCCGAGGAGGACGTCGCCGAGGAGGACGTCGCCGAGGAGGACGTCGCCGAGGAGGACGTCGCCGAGGAGGACGTCGCCGAGGAGGACGTCGCCGAGGAGGACGTCGCCGAGGAGGTCGTCGCACGCGCGGCACGCGAGGGGACGTGGCCCGGCCAGCCTGGCCGACGACTCGGACAGCGCGACAGCACAGCGACAGCTCGGCACGTCGTGGCGGAAATGTTGAGTTGGTGGCGAGGACACGGCTCGCTGTCTCTCTCGGTTTACGGACCGCCCCATGTGTGCGAGAGAGACACAGAGACGAAAAGGACTGCTGGTGCCTGGGCCTGGCTGCCCGGCCTCGGCGAGCCCAGTGCCCTCCCCGCCCAATCAGTGACACCGCGCCGAGGGGGACTCGAACTCGGCCGGGGGCAGCACGGCAGGACACCAGGACGCCGACAGGAGGGCGGGACCGGCGGCACCAGGGCGCACCAGCAGACTGATTCCGAAAGTCGTTGTCGTCGCTCCGTCTCTCTCCCACTCACGGGGCGTCCCGTAAAGGTGGGAGAGAGACGGAGCGACGACAACGACTGCGGTCCGTCGGCGGATTAGCCCCCCGGCCGACGGCGCGGCACTGGAATTCGTTTGCCACCCTTGTCTCGCCACTGGCCTAAAGGCGCCTAAAGGCCCAGAGCTTCTTGTCATGCCGTCGGATCGGATTTGTCGGGTCCCTTTGTCTCTGGCCGGCGGCCCGAAAGCGGGGAGCAACGCAGCGAAGACGGGCAGCGCACAGGTGTGTGCCGTGCGGGCAGTGCAGGTGGCGCCGGCGGACTGATTCCGAGAGTCGTTGTCGTTGCTCTGTCCCCCTGGCGCGAAGACGGAACGCCCCATGAGTGCGAGAGCGGCAGAGCGACGAGAACGACTCTCGGAATCAGTGTGCTGGTGCTCGGCTGCTCGGCCCGGCGGCTAGACCGCGCTAGACCGCCCGGAGCGGTGCTTTGCGATTTACTGCTCGCTTGCATCGAATTTGTCGCCAGCCCGGCGCTCCGCCACGCCGTCCCGCGGCTCGGCCGCGGAGGCCTTTCCGGCGGCTTTCCGCCTAATGGGCTAAATTATGCGAGTCGAGTCGAGGCGGGCGAAGCAAGCCGAAGACGCGGCCTGGCGGGCCGTCCCTTCCGTCACGTGCAAAGCGTGCAAACGGCGCTGGCTCGCGGCCAAAATTATCGACTGTTGGCGGATGGCGGGGCGGGGCGCACCGCGTGTGGGGCTGCGGCTGTCGAATGCGTGCGGGGGACAGGCCGACAAACAGCTTTGTCAGCGTGTGCGCCTGAAGACGTCGTCGCCGTCGTCGCCGTCGTCGGATGGCGGCACTGGCGCACAGTGGGCCAGAAGACCGATGAGGCGGCCAAAATTCTAGACGCGTTTTGAGCTCCAGAGTCGCTAAATGGGACTCGAACCGAACTTGCGGCCCCACCAATGGATTCCTCGTTCGGAGAGCAGTCCATTGATGGGATCACACGGTCGGTTCGAGTCCCATTTAGCGACTCTGGAGCTCAAAACGCGTCTAGAATTTTGGCCGCCTCATCGGCCTTCTGGCCCACTGTGTGGCGGAGCGCGCGGGGCGGGGGTTGTCGGTCGGGGTCACGACACTGCCACGACGGTCCGGGCAGGAGATGACAAATTGGGCGTGCCCCCTACGCGCGCTGCAGGCCGACACCGAGCACTGTCGCTCTGTCTCTCTCGCACTCACGGGGCGTCCCGTAAGGGAGCGAGAGAGACAGCGAGCGCTCGGAATCAGCGTGCTGCTGCGCCGCGTTCGCTGCGTGACCCCCAAGGGCCTGGCCGGCCTGGCCGGGGAACGCGCTATCGCGCTCCCCGGTTCAAGGACGTCCTCGCGGCGGTGGACAGCAGACTGACTCTGACAGTCGTTTTCGTCGCCCTATCTCTCTCGCACTCATGGCGCATCTCGTATAGGTGCGA